GTGCATGTGTGTGTGAGTGTGTGCGCATGTGTGGTCACTTCAGAATGCTTCTGTGTGCCTTTGTGTGCGTGTGTGCATGTGTGAGTGTGCATGTGTGTGCGTGCGTGTAGTCACTTCGGAATGCTTCGTGTGTGTGTGTGTGTGTGTGTGCATGTGTGGGGGGTCACTCTTCAGAAAGCTTCCATGTGTGCGTGTGTGGTCACTTCAGAATGCTTCTGTGTGTGTGTGTGAGTGTGGGTACTCCTCCAAATGCTTTTGCATGTGTGTGTGTGTATGTGTGAAATCACTCTTCCAAATGCTGCATCTTCCAAATGTTTCCGTGTGTGTGTGCGTGCACACGTGTGTGTGTGTCTGGCTGCTTCCTTCCAATAAATCCCAAAAGGTGGATGGCAGGGCATGGGCACTTTGCAAACCCTCTGTTGCCTAGTGGTTGTGTGTGTGTCAGCCTTCCCTACTTGCCTGTGTGCATCAGAGTCCCCTGGACTCTTGTTCAAATGAAGGTTCTGGTCCAGGAGGTCTGGGAGAGGCCCAAGACTCTGCATTTCTGTGATGCTGCTGGTCTGGGGCCCACACACTGAGTGGCCAGGGCCCCGGGTGTACACGCCCCCCCCACCCCTCTTACAGGAAGCCGGGGCAGATGACAGCCCAGGAGAGTGTGCTCATGGCCAGGCTTGACATGTGGTCATCAGGCTGGAGAAGCCCATTCTTGGGACGCTGCCTGTGTCTGGGCAGGTCTCCTGCCTTCCCCACAGTACCTGAATTGCTGCCATGAGCCACCAGTCCAGCCAGGCTGTTGATGCAGCCAATTCCTGCCAAGCCAATCGGCCCCAGGGAGGCTCAGAGCCACCCGTTCTCCGTATGGAGACTGGGCAGTGAAGGGCCTGGCCGGTGGCGTTGGGAAAGGTAGGAGCCCTGTACAGAGGGGCTGGAGAGCCCTCCTGCAGCTTCACGGCCTGTGGGCCTGCGTTCCCGGGACCGCCTGGCGAGCAGGCCCAGAGAGGATCGTGGACCGAGGGAGACCCCGTCTGGACGGCGGTGACCATGCAGCGCTGAAGCCATGTGGAAAATCCCATGTGTGTGATTCCACCCCCAAGAGGCTACAAATGCCTGTGCCTCCCTGGCTTGGGGAGATTCACAACCCAACCTCTACCCGCGTGAATGTTGTGGGGGGAGGGTGCAAAATGTTTAGTTTCTTTCACTTTTCAAATGAACCATATGAAATTGTATTAAAAAAAAAAAAAGAAGTTGTCAGTATTTGGCCGCTTTACGTCTCTTAAAAGGCAATTTCATACGGTCTGGTGTGAACCCTCCCAGCAAACCCTCAGGGTAGTTTTTGTAATGACTGCAGGCACCGGAGGCACGACCCTGGCAGGCCTGTGCCCAATCATTACCACACAATTGCTGATGGCCTTTGCCTTACACTCCTTGGAACCTAAGATGCCACCAAGAATAAGGGCCCCTTTGCCTGGTGATGGTCGAGGCAAGCTGCTGACTGAGCTCCGCAGATTTGTAAGCGGTTTGTTCTCCCCAGCATTTTAGGGGGGCTGTGCATGCTCAGAGATGCACACCTGCGAGGACTGATGAGCTGGCCCAGGAGAAAGAGCCTCCACCCACCCACCCACAAGCACGGTGTCCACCCCCTGCAGATAGGGGCAGTTCTTACCACCAGGGCCTTGAGGTTGAGGGCCAGTCCTAGGGGAGAGCCGTGGACTGGGGTGGGCAGAGGGAGGCCAGCCTGCAAGCTCCCAGTGAGGAGAGGGTTCACCCAGGGGCTTCGGCTGAGCTCAGGCTGAGTCCAGGAGACAAAGCACCAGTGCCAGCTGGTGGATGCCTGACTCACCTGGCCCTGCCCTTCCAGAATGCGGAGGTGAGCGCCTCCCAGGCGTCAATGTGCTGTGGCCACACAGAGGGAGTGGAATAGCTCCCCACCGACCTGCAGTTGCATTGAGATGTCCAGACATACCCGGAGTGCAGGGAGAAGCATGCCTCCCACAGAAGGGGGCTCTCAGGGTGAGGAGGCTGGCTTCCCAAGCCAGGCCGGAAATGGCTACAGTAGCAAGAGAGAGAGACCAGCTGGGGGCCGTGTCAGCGTGTGGGGTGGGTGAGGGCTTCCGCACACATGGGAAGGTTTGAACCTCGTACGAGCGCCAGGTCTAGTGGGGACACCTGGGCCTTCTCATCAGCCCGCCTGGAGCCTGGAGCAGAGAACACGGGGGTGAGGTTTAAATGCCATGGGTAGCCAGTTACCAGAAATGGAGTCAGACTCTACTGCACACGGACAAGCCCCCTTCCTGGGGTCGGATGCAAGGTTCTGTGGCATGCACAACATGCGTATGTGTTCACATGTGTGTCACTGAGGGAATGTGATGGCCCCCGTAAGCCCTGCCATATCAGCATCCCTATCAACATGGGGTGCTCCAGCCGGGCCTCTCCCTAGAGCATCTTCACAGAACTGAGGCTGTCAAAATACACTCACAATTTCCAGCTATGAACAGTTCAACATGTACCAGACACCCCTGTACCACCCCCCAGATTTAACAAATGTTCTTTTCCATATTTGCTCTGTAGTGTTCTTTAAGGAGATCAACGCTAGAGAGTTAGAGTTACAGCTCCACCCACTCTGCCTTCCCACCCCCCCGCCCCCACAGAGGTTACCCCCGCCAAGCTTTGCTGCCCCTCACGCGTTGTTGCTGCCATTGCCCCTATGTCAACACCCGGAAACCGCACGGCACGCGTGATTCACGTAAAGGGCATCACACTGTCCAATCCTTCGACTACTGGCTTTTTTCTCCTCGATATCACATTGTTGTTTGTTTTGTTTTTGTTTTGAGATGGAGTCTCGCTCCGTAACTCAGGCTGGAGTGCAATGGGGCAATCTCAGTCACTGCAACTTTCCTTCCCAGGTTCAACAATTCTCCTGCCTCAGCCTCCCAAATAGCTGGGATTGCAGGCACCTGCCACCATGCCTGGCTAATTTTTGTATTTTTAGTAGAGATGGGGTTTCACCCCGTTGGCCAGGCTGGTCTTGAACTCCTGACCTCAAGTGATCCGCCCAGCTCAGCCTCCCAAAGCGCTGGGATTACAGGTGTGAGCCCCCGCGCCCGGATGATGCAATGTTTTTGGTTATCAGCATTGACTCGGGCAGCTCTCATCGTTCACCTGAAATGTGGCACAGGATGCTCCTCCACCTGCAGCCAGGCCACAGCTCATGCCGCCTCCGCTTGCCTCCTGGCAGGCAGGCTGTGTCACGTTTCCCTTATAGCCCTCGTTTTTGGAGGAAGAGTGCAAGGCTGCTCAGCCAGGAAGTGGCAAGACCAGAGCGCGCACACAAGGCTGCAGACCCCAAATCTCCCATTCCTTTTTTTGTGTGTGATGGAGTCTCACTCTGCTGCCAGGCTGGAGTGAAGTGGTGCGATCTCGGCTCACTGCAACCTCCAAATCCCTGGTTCAAGCGATTCTCCTGCCTCAACCTCCCAAGTAGCTGGGACTACAGGCGCCCACAAGACTACACACACACCCAGCCAATTTTTGTGTTTTTACTAGAGATGGTGTTTCACCATGTTGGCCAGGATGGTCTCGATCACCTGACTTCATGATCGGCCTGCTTCGGCCTCCAAAGTGCTGGGGTTACAGGCGTGAGCCACCGTGCCCATCCCAAATCTCCCATTCTTGCCACGTCCTCAGGCAGAGTTTACACAGCAGCTCACGGAGCCTCGGTGAAACTACAAACCCCCCGGCTGAGCACACTGGTGGTGCTGGTTTTAAAGAGAGATTCCTGGGCACTCTGCTCCTCAACACTCTTCCTCTAAAAACAAGGACTGCAACGGAAAGGTGAAACAACTCGTCTGCCAGGAGGAAGGAGGATGGTGTGTGAGCTGCGGCGTAGCTGCAGGTGGAGGAGCGTCCTGAGCCACATTGCAGGTGAACGATCAGAGCCGCTTGAGTCAATGCTGATCAGCCAAAAGGACAGCTTAACTTTCCTGCCCCTGAGTGCAGGCTGGACTTAGTCCTTCGCTTCTAACAAGAGATTAGGGCCGACGTGGAGCAATGTTGCTTCCGACACGAGGTTACAGAAAGACCGTGGCCTCCTCAGCCTCTCTCCCTCTCTGTGGAAAGCTGCTGCTGTGCTGTGCTGTGCCCTAAGGGGTCCCAGCTACCGAGAAACAGCGGCTTCCTGCAAACAGCCAGCGGAGGCCTGAGGTTGGCCAGCGATTTGGAACTGGGTCCTGCAGCCCCATTTGAAGCCACCATGACCCCAGCCCGGACCAATGCCTTGACTCTGGGCATGTGAGATCCCTGGGCCGGCACCGCTCAGCCAGGCAGGCCCATGTTCTGCAACGCACAAAAACCATGAGATGGTAAATGCGTTGTCTTCAGCCCCGAGGCTGGGGGAGCGTTAGGCGGCAGCAGATATCTGAGGAACCTGTTCGGCCCAAGGAGGCCAGGCAAGGGGACACAGAGGAACGTGGGCCCAGCAGGTTCCACCACCCACAGCCTCCAGACACCTCTTCCCCATCATGTCCTGGCCTCAGAGGGCATGTGACAACCCACCCCCCGGGCCTGAGGCGGCAGCCACCAACATGAACCCTGTCACAGTGTGCTGAGCTGTGCCCACGCCAGGGCCAACCCCAGCACATCCACGTGCAGAGGGACGTGCTGATAGTGAAGCCTCCCTCTCGCAATCCCCCTCCCTCTTCCAGGCAGGCAGCCCTCTCTCTAGTCCTCTGCCAGTTCCCTTGCTGCCTTGACTCTGGAATCAGCAGAGCCAGCCCCAGTTTTCACAGAGCCCGCCCTCGGTGGAGGTTTCTTCCTGACTCTGACCTGCTGACACCAAACCCAGCAGCCCTCGCCACAGGAGGGTTTTGGAACTCCCGCCACCGTGCTAAGGGGCTTGGGAGTCAGACAGACCTGGGTTTCCTATTCCCACCCACCACCCTTCTCCCTAAGCCTCAGGCCTCCCTCCCCTCATCTGTGAAATGGGATCAGTCATCTACCTACCTCCAGATGACAGAGATTCCAGGACAGGAAGCAGACAGTGCGTAGGGCATGCCGGATCTCAGGCTGTGGTTTAGGCGAGCTCAGGGACCGGCCAGGGAGGCTCCCTCTTGCACCCCTCCAGCTCTGTGTACAAGGCCTTGCTGCTTCTCTGGGCGCCAGGCTGTGGGAAGTAGAAAAGCTTAGTTTCCTTTCTTGTTAAAGAATAAGTGTGCTAATAACTTTGTTAAGCCCTGTGCTATGTAGCTGTTAGACACGCCGTGCTTACAGGCACGTGGTACATTCTGTGTCCTGTACTTTAACCAAGATACCTGTGCTAGACGTGCTCACAGGCATGCCCCAGCTCTCCACTGCTTTTACCTGTTTAGAGAGTTTTAAGTTGTTAGCCAATCGGGTTTTAGTTTAGAACGTGAGGTCTGGCTCCAGCCAACGGAGATCAGACACAGCAGTAAGGACGACCCCAAATGCGTAAGGGATAAATCTGTGTGTTTTCCTGTGTTCATTGTACTCTCATGGCACGATGGCTAGTGAGGGTCCCCTTCCTCCAGGAAGTAAAAATCACGTTGCTGAAAAACCCTTTGTCTCAGTGCTCATTTTTTTTTTTTTTGCGGCACCGAGCAGCTATTTCCAACACATGCTGAGAAGTGCCTCTGTCCCCAAGGCCCTAGTGATGCTCATCCCTCAGCCTAGAATCCCCCCTGCTCCCTGCTAACTCTTTTTATTTAGGCAAACTTTACATCACAAAACTTATCACTTTAACCATTTTATTTATTTGATTTGATTTTTAAATTTAGAGACGACATCCCACTCTGTCACCCAGGATGGCGTGCAGTGAGGTCACAGCTCACTGCAGCTTCCGGCCTCCTGGGTTGAAGTGATCCTCCTGCCTTGGCCTCCCGAGTAGCTGGGACTATAGGTGTGTGCCACCATGCCACCCTGCCTATTTTAACCTGGACAATACAGTGGCATTTGGGTCATTCACAGAGTTCTTGCAACCAGCAGCACCATCCATCTAGCACCAGAGCACTCCCATGACCCCAGAACAGAACCCCGTCTCTGTTAGCAGCCACTGCCACTCCCCCTCCTGACTCCTGCCCCAACCCCTGGCAAGCACTCGTGAGCTTTCTGTGTTTATGGATTTGCCTACTGCAGACATTTCACGTACATGGAATCACAACATGCCGTCATATTTATGATTGCCTCACAGTTTCCACGCCAGGCTGCGGTGGGACTCAGAACGTCTTTCCTTTCCACACGGGATGCATGGACTACGCTGTTTATCTGTTCATCAGTGACAGACCCTTGGTAGTGTCCAGCCTCTGGCTATCGTGGATAATGCTGCTATGGCATCTGTCTGAGCGCCTGTTTGAATTCTCTTGAGCAGACACCTAGGAGCAGAACTGCTAGGTCAGAGGATGATTCTTCATATAATTTTGAGGAACTACCTCCCCCCACCACACACCCAATTCTTACCAGTCTGTCAGATCTCAGTGCTGCCTGGCCTTTGTTCACCTCCTCCTCATCCTTGCCCCATGCTTTCAGATCCTTCTTGGCTTTGCGGAAACTTCCGGATGAAGCGGGTAAGCCTCCTGCAGGCAGGGATGTATGCCTCGCTGCCCTGAACCCTGGTCTGGCACATGAAGGCCTGCCGTGAGTATCTGTTCACACATGAATAGAAGACCAGGTATGAGCTAACAGGTGTGCAGAGATGGTGCCCATGAATCTGGGAGGAGGGCCATGCCAGAAGCCAGGGCACAGGGCAGGCTGGAAGTGCTGGGAGTTTACACCCCAGGAGCTGCCCTCCAACAGCAAATGGGAGTCAAGGTTTGCGGGCTGTCTACAACTGCCGCTCCTGGCCCCCCAACAACAAGATGGAGCCCCAGCTGCTCACTGCTGCATCTGGTCCGGCTCCTTTCCTTCCCCACTGTGCCCCCGCCCTCCCACTGTGCTTTTCGGATCCCTCCCGATAGACTCTTTCTACTCAGCTCCCAGCTCCCAGCTCCCAGCTCCCAGGGAACTGGCTGCCCAGGGAACCCAATCTAAAACAGCAGGGTCAGCCTCTGGCCCAAGGGAGGAACAACTTTGCCGTTAGTCAGAATGAATAATAATTTATAAGGAGAATGAATAACAAGTAGGAGACCTTCCCAAGGTCACTGCACCAGACATGGCGAGATGCTCATTCTCTCGGGCTGCACCAGGCCATGCTGCCTCCTATGAAGATTCAGTCGGGCGGGGGCTGCAGGAGGCAGGTGAGGTGTCCAGGCTGCGACACGTCAGGTGGGCGCTCTCTGGGAGTCCTGCAAGCGCAGGGCCGGCACCTGAGGGTGGGCCCCACTGTACCCTGGTGGCCTTGGTCCAGAGTCTGGGTGACTCGTGTACATGTGTGTCAGTGTGTCTCTGTGTGTATGCATGTGTGTATGTGTGTGTACATGTGTAATGTGCAGATGTATATGTCTTGTGCTTGCATGTGTATACATGTATAGATACATGTGTGTATTGTCCCTGTGTGCATGACTGTGTACATATATGTATGTGTGTACTGTATGTGTGTATATTCATGAATGTGTGCATGTGTGTACGTGCGTCGGTGGGTGTGTGCGTGTGTGTACATGTATCAGTGGGTGTGTGCGTGTGTGTACGTGCGTCGGTGGGTGTGTGCGTGTGTGTACGTGCGTCGGTGGGTGTGTGCGTGTGTGTACATGCGTCGGTGGGTGTGTGCGTGTGTGTACGTGCGTCGGTGGGTGTGTGCGTGTGTGTACGTGCGTCGGTGGGTGTGTGCGTGTGTGTACATGCGTCGGTGGGTGTGTGCGTGTGTGTACATGTATCGGTGGGTGTGTGCGTGTGTGTACGTGCGTCGGTGGGTGTGTGCGTGTGTGTACGTGCGTCGGTGGGTGTGTGCGTGTGTGTACATGTATCAGTGGGTGTGTGCGTGTGTGTACGTGCGTCGGTGGGTGTGTGCGTGTGTGTACGTGCGTCGGTGGGTGTGTGCGTGTGTGTACGTGCGTCGGTGGGTGTGTGCGTGTGTGTACATGCGTCGGTGGGTGTGTGCGTGTGTGTACATGTATCAGTGGGTGTGTGCATGTGTGAGTCTGCTCACCTAATAATAGCTATCAAGTGCTTATCATGAGTCAAATATTATTCTAAGAGTTTTACTTTTTTTAACCCACTGAATTCTCAGAACCCCATAATTTGGGTCCTACCATCATCCCCATTTTACAAATGGGGGAACTGAGACTCCAGAGGCGAAGTGGTTTTCCTAAGACCACACGAGTGGTGGGATGCAAAGCCCTCTAGCCAGCTCCGGATCCACCCCCTGAGCCTCCAAAGCAGATCCTGGAGATGTGAGCAAAACTGTTTCCCCCAGCCACCCGGCAGAGGGACACTCTGGCCTGCCATCTTTCCCTTGGTTCTAGCTCCTTCCCACGCTAGGAAGGCAAGAACACCAGCGTGTATGTAGCACATGTGGTTATTCCACAGTCAGGAGGGAGGACTCCAGGAGGCAGGCAGCTCCTGCAAACTCATGGGGCGTGGGTGGTGTGGGAGACAGGGAGGCTCTACAACGCCAGCCTACAGCCTGGCCTCGGAGAGGAAGGGGTACCCCATATGTCCTCCAGACCCTTTCCGTTTCAGCTAAGGGCTGGGAGATTTGCCCCCAAATCACCCGAGCTCTGCATAAGCTGCACGCCTTCTTCAATGGCCGATGGCTGACAGAGCTGGCTCTGCCCCAGCTCACGGGCTTGGCCACTCTCCAGGGCACCTCCCACCTGGCCTCAGCTCTTCTGGGGCAGCTGCCTTTGTTCCCTGTACCTCCGGCTTTAGTGGGAAAGAAAGGGGCCAGGAGGGACCCACAGGCTGGGAGGTGCCTCCCGCACGTATATTTAGCTGACTTGGGCTGTGTCCCGCCTGGCTCCTGGACATCTGGCCGCATCTGCCTGCTGAAGTTGGACGATGGGACCCAAGAGGAGACCGCCTGCGGTGACACTGTGGACAGACAGGCTGGCCAAGGCCAGAATGATATGTTTTGCAGTTCCTCCAGGACCAGAGAACAAAGACCGCCCTGGGATTTTGCTGTCAGAATTCTCCTTTGAAATCAACATGGTTTTTATCTCCATTTAATTTTTGAAACTTTGTTTCCTTGTACAAGCAATATCTCTCCACCTTGGAGGAATGAGAAATACAAAGTATCATAAAGAAAGGCTGAAATGTCTCTGCTCCACTATACAGCAAGGGAATGCACCCCTTCGCCTCTACTCCATACACAGCGGGGTGACTCTCACAGCGTGAGTCTGAGTGCAAGAGGCCGGACCCTGGGAGGCTCCGTTCACCATGACTCAGAGGCCGCAACCGTGGAAACTAGCCTGGGGCATTCGGAGCCAGACTGGCCACCCCAGGGAGAGGAGTGAGGGCCTGGAAGGGGGTCTGGAATGTTCTATGGCTTAATCAGGTGCTGATTACACATGGGAGTTTCATTTGTGAAAATTCATCAAGCTGGACATTCACAATTTGTGCACTTTTCCGTATGAATGGGCAATAAAATATTTACTATTTTATTAAAATTTTTCCCCTTTCTATTCTCAAGGCATTGCCAGTATTAATATTCTGGGTTGTTTCCTTATATACATTTTGCCACACATCTACACACATTATTTTTTCTAAGAAAGATAAACTCATCTTCTACCTCCTGTGTTTTCACAGGAGGTAATAAATGCTGAAGCCACACTGTGGGGGTCCCACCCTGAACCCTCCAGCCAAGCCACTCACCTCCCAAGCTGTTGATGTGCAGGTGACAGTAGGGACTCTGTAACTGTGAGCTCTTCAGGTAACAGTAGGGACTCTGTAACGGTGAGCTCTTCAGGTGACAGTAGGAACTCTAACGGTGAGCTCTTCAGGTGACAGTAGGAACTCTAACTGTGAGCTCTTCAGGTGACAGTAGGAACTCTAACTGTGAGCTCTTCAGGTGACAGTAGGGACTCTGTAACCGTGAGCTCTTCAGGTGACAGTAGGGACTCTGTAACGGTGAGCTCTTCAGGTGACAGTAGGGACTCTGTAACGGTGAGCTCTTCAGGTGACAGTAGGGACTCTGTAACGGTGAGCTCTTCAGGTGACAGTAGGAACTTTAACTGTGAGCTCTTCAGGTGACAGTAGGAACTCTAACTGTGAGCTCTTCAGGTGACAGTAGGGACTCTGTAACCGTGAGCTCTTCAGGTGACAGTAGGGACTCTAACTGTGAGCTCTTCAGGTGACAGTAGGGACTCTAACTGTGAACTCTTCAGGTGACAATAGGGACTCTGTAATGGTGAGCTCTTCAGGTGACAGTAGGGACTCTGTAACCGTGAGCTCTTCAGGTGACAGTAGGGACTCTAACTGTGAGCTCTTCAGGTGACAGTAGGGACTCTAACTGTGAGCTCTTCAGGTGACAGTAGGAACTCTAACTGTGAGCTCTTCAGGTGACAGTAGGGACTCTGTAACCGTGAGCTCTTCAGGTGACAGTAGGGACTCTAACTGTGAGCTCTTCAGGTGACAGTAGGGACTCTAACTGTGAACTCTTCAGGTGACAATAGGGACTCTGTAATGGTGAGCTCTTCAGGTGACAGTAGGGACTCTGTAACCGTGAGCTCTTCAGGTGACAGTAGGGACTCTAACTGTGAGCTCTTCAGGTGACAGTAGGGACTCTAACTGTGAACTCTTCAGGTGACAATAGGGACTCTGTAACGGTGAGCTCTTCAGGTGACAGTAGGGACTCTGTAACCGTGAGCTCTTCAGGTGACAGTAGGGACTCTAACTGTGAGCTCTTCAGGTGACAGTAGGGACTCTAACTGTGAACTCTTCAGGTGACAATAGGGACTCTGTAACGGTGAGCTCTTCAGGTGACAGTAGGGACTCTGTAACTGTGAGCTCTTCAGGTGACAGTAGGGACTCTGTAATGGTGAGCTCTTCAGGTGACAGTAGGGACTCTAACTGTGAGCTCTTCAGGTGACAGTAGGGACTCTGTAACTGTGAGCTCTTCAGGTGACAGTAGGGACTCTGTAACTGTGAGCTCTTCAGGTGACAGTAGGGACTCTGTAACGGTGAGCTCTTCAGGTGACAGTAGGGACTCTGTAATGGTGAGCTCTTCAGGTGACAGTAGGAACTCTAACGGTGAGCTCTTCAGGTGACAATAGGGACTCTAACTGTGAGCTCTTCAGGTGACAGTAGGGACTCTGTAATGGTGAGCTCTTCAGGTGACAGTAGGGACTCTGTAATGGTGAGCTCTTCAGGTGACAGTAGGGACTCTGTAATGGTGAGCTCTTCAGGTGACAGTAGGAACTCTAACGGTGAGCTCTTCAGGTGACAATAGGGACTCTGTAACCGTGAGCTCTTCAGGTGACAGTAGGGACTCTGTAACCGTGAGCTCTTCAGGTGACAGTAGGGACTCTGTAACCGTGAGCTCTTCAGGTGACAGTAGGGACTCTAACGGTGAGCTCTTCAGGTGACATTAGGGACTCTAACTGTGAGCTCTTCAGGTGACAGTAGGGACTCTAACTGTGAGCTCTTCAGGTGACAGTAGGAACTCTAACGGTGAGCTCTTCAGGTGACAGTAGGGACTCTAACTGTGAGCTCTTCAGGTGACAGTAGGGACTCTAACTGTGAGCTCTTCAGGTGACAGTAGGGACTCTAACTGTGAGCTCTTCAGGTGACAGTAGGGACTCTAACTGTGAGCTCTTCAGGTGACAGTAGGGACTCTAACTGTGAACTGTTCTTCAACTTGCTCTTTTCACTGAATCTAGTGCAAACCTCTTTCCAAACCAAGAACTAGCACTTGCCCTACGTACGAGGGAACCATAAATACAGGTCAACATCCAACTGGATCCTCTACATGCTCTCCATCCATCTTGAACATGTAAATGATTTGACCATGGACGGAAAAGTCACAAGAGTGCTCACACAACGTAATTCATTCATTAAATCAGAAATGCATTTTGAAATCGAAAG